CCCACATTCTCTACAAATAGAGATAGTTTTACTTCTTTCTTTTTATTCTGGATACTTTTTACCTTTTTTTTTTTTCCTGGCGAAATAGCCCTCACTCCAACGAGTTCTATAGTCTTGAACAAAACCGGTGAGAATGGACATCCCCATTTTGTTCCTGATCTTAGGGAAAGACTTCCATTATCTTACCATTGAGTATGATGTCATGTCAGCTGGGGGTTTTTGTGGATGCCTTTTTTCATGTGAGGAAGGTTCCTTCTATTCCTAGTTTGTTCAATGTTCTTTATTATGAAAGCAGGGTGGAGTTTTTGGGTTTTTTTTTTCCAAATGCTTTTTCTGTGTCTGCTGAGGTAACCATGTGGTTTTCGTCCTTTATTTTACTAACATGGCATATTACATTGATTAATTTTTATCTGCTGAACCAACCTTAAAATCCTAGCATAAATCTTACTTGATCATGGCGTATAATACTTTTTTATGTTACCGAATTAGATTCCCTAATATTTTGTTGAGGATCTTCGCACTTATATGCATACTCCTGAAACTTTATAAACGTTTTGTGTCTTTCTTTCTAAATGAGATAAATTCTTTGGCAAAGCATAGAAAAGGCATACATGTCACATAAGTCACATAGAAGTCACATAATATCTAAACAGTAGTCTGTCCATGACGATGTCAGTAGGTAATTTCCACAAATTATTTATTACTCAATTCTCATATATGGAGCTCCATTTCAATTTATAATCCTTCAATGGATTTCCTTTCCCCACACTGAAAATTGACCCATTAAGGCTTACCTGCATGACTGTATTGATTTGAACTACATTCAACCTATTGTATTCTTTCCCAGGAGGGAATAGAAAGGCACGTCTTTATTCTGCATACTTCAAAACGGATTTTTGTTTTGATATTTGGGGAATTTTGTCATTGTTTCTTTTTATGCACTCACACAAAATCAACAGAATACCATTTATATAGACATCTCTAGAGAAATAAAACTTAGCAAAACAATGCTAGGGCACCTAACTGGTTTGTTGTATTTTAAAGCTCTCCTACTTTGGGACTATAGGCCACATCCAAGTCAAGACCAGACAGAAAATCAGAAATCTAATGATGTGCATTTAAAGTAGGATTATACTAAAATTATTTTATGGTAACTGGGAAAACTTAACCTGATTGGTCACCATTAAGAAGACCACTAATTAAGAAGAACAAGGACAGCCTGTTAATTTAGAAGGTGATCCTGAACTATTCTGTCCAAAGCACATTAGGGTAAATAATAATAACGCTAAATTAGATTAGTTATGACACTATTCCGTTGTTTATATTCCCTATTATATTGCAAGTTCATTAAGGGCAGGTGCGTATATCTGTAGGTCTTGTTGGTAGACATCCAAAATATCCTGTGAGGGACAAGTGCGCATTAGGGACCACAGAAGTTTTTTTAATGAATGGATAACTCATTGAGTCAAAACAGCTAACAAAATATAAGTTCTGTATAGCTTGCCATAGTTTGCGACAACTTTCTTTGGCAAATTAATGGCTCTTTATTAACCAATCTGTTGGTCTATGAAGGGAAGCTCTGCTTATATTCTCCAAATCTGGACACAAAGCAGTGTCTCCTTAGTTACTCACTGCTCTGAAAGTGCCAGCAGAATCAGGGCAGAAGCCGTCCTGAAAGTTGTCCAGAACATGAAAAGTTTTATTCGGCTTTGATCAAGATGCATAGCTCTATGTACAGATGAAATGAATATTTATAATTTTATTAGACTCAATTGCTTCAGGCAATAAACTTCATTGCTGAGTTTCAAGTTTAATTTTTATAGCCTGAGAGAGATGCTCCTGAATATACCATTCTCGAATAAAAACATTAACGTCTTCGATTCTGCACTATTGTCCTCTGTATATTAGCTTGTGGGAAAATAAAGCTTTATATGATAAAATGTATTATTCTCCTTTTTTATTAAAACGATTGCTTTTTATATAATGCAGCCTAGTTATTAAATCAATATTTCCATCGTCGATCAAAAGCCAAATTGTCTTTAAAAACATTCCTTTGTCAACTTCACACTTTGTACCTTGCATCACAGACATTTCTGAACATGCCTCACCTCTCCTCTCAGAGGCTCGAGTCACTGAGGGCAGAAGTTGCGTGTGGGGTGTTCATTTTGTTCGTTGACCCTATCTGTCCTGGTGGCTGGGAAAAGTCCACAGACACCTGCTGTGGCAAGGAAGGAGGGATCAGACGGCTGGGGGCAGGCAAAGCCGTCACTCCAGTCGCAGACTGCACCACTGTATGATAATCTAGCTCTGAGGTTTGCACGCCCCCTAAGACAATCAATTACTCACTCTGTTCAAACCGAGGAGAGTAACTATCCTTACTATCCAAGAAGAGTAAGTAACTATCCTTGAGTGGAGCTCAGTATCAGATAAAAAAGGAGCAAATTCTTTGCCGCTTGGATGTTAAAAACAATTATAATATTATTCAACTGACAGCCAAGGAAGGGGTTCCATCCCACTGTTCTCTGAAACTCAACATGGGCTTTGAATTTGTAGGAATCTCATAGCCTCCTCTATCTAAATGTATACTGTGATTGTCATGGGTGAAAGCCGGGGAAGGAGCTCATTTCTTTCGATTGTTTTTCCAGTTCTTGTGGTTTTCTAGACTATGCCACTTTTTAAAATAGAACAAAAAACCCTACTGGGCACTGTATGTAAGCGATGAATCACCAAATCCTACACCTGAAACTAATATTACACTGTATGCTGACCAATTGGTATCTAAATAAAAATTTGAGGGGCGCCTGGGGGGCTGAGTCGGTTAAACATCCAACTTCCGCTCAGGTCATGATCTCACGGGTTTTGTCAGGTTCCCAGGCAGTGAGGGCTCTGTGCTGACAGCTCAGAGCCTGGAGCCTGCTGTGGATTCTGTGCCTCCCTCTCTCTCTGCTCCTCCCCCGCTCATGCTCTGTCTCTCTCCTTCTTCCTCTCAAAAATAAAAACAACATTAAAAAATTTTTTAAATAAAAACTTGAGGGGTGCCTGGGTGGCTCAGTCAGTTTAAGCATCCGACTTCGGCTCAGGCCACGATCTCACAGTCTGCAAGTTCGAGCCCCGCGTTGGGCTCTGTGCTGACAGCTCAGAGCCTGGAGCCTACTTCAGACTCTGTCTCCCTTTCTCTCTGCCCCTTCCCTGCTCACAGTCTGTCTCTCTCTCTCTCAAAATAAATAAACATTAAAAGTTAAAAAAAAAAAACTTGAAAAATAGAATGAAAAAAATCTACTAATGTCACAAAAACATGGGTGTCCAGAAATGCCTAGAACACATCCAAAGTCACACATTAGAGACTGAGAGTCCTCAGTGGGCTGCAATAGCCATAAACCTCTGCCAATGCTCAAGGGGAAACAACTGTCCTCATTTTTATTTCTGGGTTAACTGCTCGATGGTTATTTTGCTTGTGCCGCGGGGACCGGAGCCGTGAGCCACACGAAATCACCTGCAGCACCAGCTGCCTTTCTGCCAACACATCGGGAGGCCCTTTCTTTATCCACCTTGAAGGCATGATTATAAATCAGGACCACCATTTCAGCCTGAGGTCTGCTATTCTTTATCCCATTTCCCAGCAAGACCTCGCCGGACCCTCCTTCACTGGTGTAATCAGCCACCTGTAACTGCACATGACCGGCCTGGAGCTTCCGGTGATGCTGCACCATCTAAATTACATTTTTTTTTTTTTTTACCATTTTCCAGAGCACCCTGGGATTCCTCGCCTTCCCTCTGAAAAACTAGAACTCATAATTTTTTTTTTAATTTTTTTTTTTTTTCAACGTTTTTTTTTTGGGACAGAGAGACAGAGCATAGAACGGGGAGGGGCAGAGAGAGGGAGACACAGAATCAGAACAGGCTCCAGGCTCCCGGAGCCATCAACTGACGCTGGGCCCAACTCACGGACAGATCGTGACCTGGCAGTCGGATGGAAGTCGACGCTTAACCGACTGTGCCACCCAGGCGCCCCTAGAACTCATAATTTGACTACCCATCATCTGTTTGGAAAATATGATCGTTTTCCCAGTTACTGTGCTTCTCAACATATTTTGAACATCCATTGCCTTCTAAACTCCAGTTAAATTTAGTTTATACGCGTGCAGCGGCCGAAACGATCAAAGGATCCGTGTATAAATGGCTGGAAACCTAGCAAAGATTCCACCGATCACCTAGGGCTCAACGGAGCCAGGCGGGTGTCACGTATCAGAACAGGAATAATAAATATTCCGCAAGAGGATTTCTGCCAAGTAACTTTAAATGTAGATGACATGGACAGTTCATGCGTAAGTGATCGAAAAGAAAAGATATACCTTCCAAAACCTACTTTTCTTTCGGTTTAATTCTTGGCGACAAAGGGAAAAATAAAGGCATAAATCATTTGATGCCTAAATAGGATAGTATTTTTACTCTGGAGCTCTCATGAACTCACAGCCATCAAGAGCGGGCGCGGGATCTTTAGGCTGCGACGTCCCAAGAAGCAGCTGGGAGCATTAAATACATCTCAAAGCAGGGCCCAGGATATACAGCCCGACACGTACTCACTTGCTACAAGAAAACTAAGCCTTTTCTCTTCTTCTCGTAAATGTAAAGCTATACTTATCATTCAGTGGTTTCTGCATTTGACTCCTGATTAATCGAGAATCTGTGACCTTGATATCTGCTTTGATTTTGTCTTTCCTCACTTGCTAGAAAAATGCCGAGTTTTGTTCTGCCTGATTGCCAAGGGAGAGGGTTAAGTGTAAGGACTTCTCAGGGATCACCCTGGTGCCTGGAAGACAGCCCTCACTCATGACTGCAGGGGCACTCGGACAAGAGAACAGTTTCCACCTTGATTATCCCTCGCTGGGAAGCCGTGAAGACCACAGGAAGCCTTACTCAGCGCCGCGACCCCTTCCGGTGTTCGCGACCTAACGCTTCTGACCCATGGGCTGTGGGGGGACGCATTTTCTGCCACTTACCTAAAACTGTGCCCAACATAAGGGATTTGACAGCGTTGAATTCTGTCCCCGATGACAGGATAACTTGTCTCCTTGCATTCTGGTTAACCTATGAAACGTTCCACGAGAAGCAAACATCAAAATGGCAAGCAATTTTGATGGTAAGAGAGAGGGAATCACAGGGACACCAAGAAAAACGGTAAAAATCAGCCATATGTTCGAATTATCACAGAGGCTAAAAGGAGAAAGCTGTTGCATAACAATTTTTATAATAACTCAGATTTCACACCACCCCATTCCTTATTCTTTTCCCTGTTTTTCTTCGTGGTTTAAGGGTCTATAATTGGTATAATCCACAAAGAGACGCAATGAGCTATTGCAAACCTTAAAGCTTTTACTTATTTCGAATAGAAATTAGTAACGAGCCGGAAAAGGTATTGTTCGTACAGATTCAATACATAAAGGCTATTCAAAGCCCAGTGCCAATGAATCATTTAAATACCGATGTTTTTAAAAATGTATTCCCACTTTAAGCAAAACCTCGCTTTTCCCCTTGTGTTTACATTTCTATGGCACTTGCTTTTTTTGTAGTCAGATGGGAACAAGTTCCCATCGGAATATCTCCAGCAGTCGCTGTAAACCAGACAACATTCCCCTACCGACAAGGACAGCTTAGCATTCATTCGAAATGGTCAAATATTAACAATAACTCCATCAGCCTCTTGCTGAACAAACACAAGAATTGCTAAACCAAACACTCTAACTACATTTTCTGTCCCCAAGACTTCCGGAAAGACCATGTTGAATGTGTATCTCTTTTATTAGGATTTATTGTCAAAGGTTTGCTTGAAGTCACACATCCTGAGCGTCACAAGTTTGGGGACTGTTGCTGTTGCTGAATCCTTACCTCTACAGAGACCACGGCCGCTTCCCTGTGAATCTTCACTTGGTGAAACTGCCCATCGGCAAGGTTTTTAAAACCAAAGTTAAAAACGTCAGGTGCCTGGTTTCTGTCCAGCTTATACCTGATCTGCAAACTTCCTAAAGAAGAGAAAAATGACATTTTTAACTAAACTAGAATCTTAAAAAACCTGTCGACGCAGGTTCTAGAGCATATTTTATTTTTATTTATTTAATACAATTTGAATCCAGTGGGCATTCGCTTAGCACACCAAGGATTTTTCCTGGAAGACTGATTGTACGTGTGCTATTCCAGGGCTGAATTCAGAATCCAATTACACTATTTTATTTAAAAAAGATTTTTTTTCATGTTTATTTCTTTTTGAGAGAGAGACAGAGAGAGCACAAGCTGGGGAGGGGCAGAGAGAAAGAGAGGGAGACAGAATCTAAAGCAGGCTCCAGGCTCTGAGCTGTCAGCACAGAACCCGACGTGGGGCCCAAACTCAGACTGCGAGCTGAAGTCAGACTGAGCCACTTAGGCACCCTGAGAATCCAATTAAATGCTATTTTATTTTATTTTATTTTATTATTTTTTAAGTTTTTATTTAAATTCTAGTTAGTTAACACGCAGTGTAACGTTAGTAAACGCTATTTTAAAAGTCAAGACCAAATGGTCTTTTTCCAAGTTCTGCCATTTTCCTTAACTAAAGGAATAAGTCTAAGTTAAGCATATAAAAACTCCAAGCTAGGCTCTAAGTCAATTATTCATGTGGTATTCATACTATTAAATGGTAAAACCTCAAGCAATATTGCATTAACATTCAGTTTCTATAAGCGTAACTTCTTTTAAGGTGACTTACTTTAATGCATTTTAATGTATTGCTGACATTTGCATAAGGATTTTTTTTTTTTTGCACAACCAGAATTTTCTCCCTAATGTTTCTGCCATAATCAAGAAACAGAGAAAAGAGAAATGATTTGCTACAGTATCTAAATCTCAAGTTATCCACAAATGCACCACTGACTCCTGTCTGTCATAGAAGCTCCAGAAGGTCAAGTTTCTGCCCTGCTTCTCTGTGAGGCAAGGTTCCAACTTGGTTTTGCTCTCCAACTGGAAAAGTCTTGGAAAACCCTGGTGGCCATGGGTGGGATAGCTCTCCTTCCACTTTTCTTTGTACGTAGAGATGACCTGAAAGGCTCAACCACTGATGGGTAAAGAACAATCCTACTCAGCCCATGCTGATCAAGATTAGATTTTGTATGGTTTAATATACTTCTTCGCTTAGAAGGAGGAGGAAACGTTCTCCATGTGCAGAATGAGATATCTTGTTTCAAAGTGGATTGCAAAACTAATTTAGATTATTCATGTCTGGTAGGAAAGACCCCGAGAAGAGCAAGGCACACATCTGCACGGGGAATACATTAAATGACCAAACTTCCACGGGAGAATGGCATCTTGAATGGAACCATGGAAATGTTAACTCTAGTGATAAACATTGAGGTTATCATGAAAAATAAACTACCCCTAAGAGAATGAGAATCTATAAGCCTTGCAATTGTGTTTCTTTTTTGTGGTTTAACGCTGGAAAAGCCCCCACCCCCCACCCCATGTGGTCCTGATATCCTAAGTCAGTCTTCTTGTTCGTAGAGTCTGACACTCACCATTGGGGGCGAGGATAACTGATAGGTACTCTTCGTAGAAGGAGCTCACGTAGAGAAGTAAGCTGGGGGCCCCTGTGGTCCGGAAGCTCAGTGTGGCCATTTCTCCGGTCAGCGTCAGATCCTCATGAAATAAAGCCGCCAAGGAGCTGGCGTTCTTACCAAAGGTGTGATTATGATGTTCTTGAAAGTTGTAGATAACGGACGAACCGCTTCCAAAATATGCAGAAATCTCTGGAATGACACTCGTTTTTGTTATGTTACCAATAACATAAGAAGAACAAGAACAAGGCTCTTCTTAATGGATAGTTACACGATATCTCTAACTCTTAAATTTTTTTTAATGTTTATTTATTTTTGAGACAGAGAGAGACAGAGCATGAGCGGGGGAGGGGCAGAGAGAGAGGGAGACACAGAATCTGAGGCAGGCTCCAGGCTCTGAGCCATCAGCACAGAGCCCGACGCAGGGCTCGAACTTGTCAACCGCAAGATGATGACCTGAGCCGAAGTCGGATGCTCAACCGACTGAGCCACCCAGGCGCCCCGACAATATCTCTAACTCTTAAACATCTCAAGAGAGAAAATAATAATGGCATGCTTTGTTCATTGTTTTAAACATTTAATCATATTTAAGATTAAAGAAAATAATCAAGTATGGATAGAAAGATAACATCCCCACCCACATTCCCATAACGTAGAACTCAGTATTTTCTTATTGCCTGCAAAATTCCCCTCAAGATTTCCATAGCTTTGGCTACCGTGGTTCTCCATGTTGACGATTCCGGATCTAACAGAAGTAGTCACGAGCTTCTCAAGAATAGAATCATGCCTCTTTCCAAGTTAAACACAGAAATTCGGGACCGAAACGAGTCTATTTAAGCTAATCACAGAGAATTGCCTTATCCCTTCTTTACAGGGTCAGATGGCAGAAACACAAAGGGAACGGGAAAATGATGCGCCGTCCTCTCCGGTCCCGGTCCCGCACGTGGGTCACACTCACCATTTTCGCAGAATGGCCCGTCGTAGGCAGAGAAGGTGCAGTCACAAGCGATACCCCTGTGTCTCTCTCTGCATCTCCCTCCGTTGCGACACAGGTGTCCATAGCTGCTGCAGTGTCCCGGGCACCCTGGCTCCACGCCCGGCGTCATTGTCGCTCTTTCTTCCAGGTCCAGGGCGAGCCCGTTCAGCCGCAGCGACCGAATGCACCCCAGGAAGCCTCTCTGTCTGGTGGCTGTCCCGCCTGCAAGGGAAACACTGCAAATGCAAATGTGTTCTTGCGTGTCTTTGCGGGATTTCGTCTTCACGTCCCACGGAGGCCATACAGATAATGTCAAAAAAGTGACCCGTCCAAAGTTTTATGAACAAATACAATTTTGAAAACAGAGGCTGTGATCAAATATTCAGAATCACCAAACGACACTGATTAAAGCCATTGACAAAAATATTTTTGAAGTCGGCCTTGGTAAATATTTATTCTAAAAAATACTTCTTTGGAGTTCCAGGGTCGCTCAGTCGGCTGAGTGTCCGACTTCGGCTCAGATCATGATCTCAGGGTTTGTGAGTTCGAGCCCCCATCGGGCTCTGTGCTGACAGCTCGGAGCCTGGAGCCTGCTTCAGATTCTGTGTCTCCCTCTCTCTCTGCCCCCTCCCCCACTTGTGCTCCGTCGCTCTGTCTCGCAAAAAGAAATAAACTTTAAAAAAATTTTAAAAATACTTCTTCGAGTTTGATTTAGAAAGATTTCTACATTTTTACATTGCTTCCTTCATAAAAAACAGAAGACCACTTATCCTTTTTAACGTTTAAGCATAGAAACTATGAGGTGCACAATAAAGTTACATAGGTGAAAATCTTTGCAATAGGATATATATTACAAATGCGTATATTAAAATATACAATTATGCATGTATGTATATATAGGTATACGTAAAATATACAAGAGTTTTGTTGTATATATGGAACATATATAATATACATTAAAATCTGTATATGCGTTTGTTATACATACATTTTTGTTATATATTTGTTATATATATGTATATAATAAATTATATATGTGATACCAACCCTTCTTAGACGTGCCATCAATGACAAATCCATGAAATCCAGCTCTCAGATCAGGGGGAGTAACACTAACTGAACACTGTAACTCTCTGTATTTCTATCATGTCTCATGGGACCCTATTCTCACACCTGGGTGCCCAGGAGTCACCTAGAATGCATGCTAAGAACCGAGGTGGGGTTCATTCGCAGGGACTCTGATGCGGTGGGCCTGGGGTACATACGCCAGATCAGAATGTTCCGCTAGCTTCTCAGGCTCTAGAAACATCTCAGTGGAAATGTTACTTCTAGGTAGACGCTCATGCAAACTCTGTTCCTAGAAATTCCATGAGTCAGTCTTCAGCATTACAAATCAGAAAATAAAATTATTTCATTTGATCCAGCGTCACGACTTGATGTGAAGCCTACCCGGTAAGAACTGTGCTGGAAGCAGACGTTTATGGGGCCATGGGTTGAACGTGCGCGCGCACACACACACACACACACACACACACACTCACGAACTCCCCACATGGCACCAGCCTCCAGATGCTGTAGGTATCCCCTGGCAAAGCACACTGAGTGCTAATTTGTGATTTAGATCAGTGTTTAATTTAGACCGCATCCTTATTTACTTGAAAATACATGAAAAATGACCAAGTAAGAGCTACTTCAGTAATCTGCGCGTTTTCCAAATTAGAACAGAGTTGTCTGAAAAGCCACGTAGCAAAACTTAACTTTCCCCGTGGGCAAGAGAAAAAATTATAAAAAATGAGCAAGCAAATGAAAGGGGAAGATTCCCACTCCCCAGAGCTGTTGATCTTTAAAGAGCGGGCACCCAGGATAAGGAGCCAGAGTCCGGTTTTGAACCCGGCGTCTGCAAGGACTGAGCTGCAGGAGGGCGGTGCTGAGGAGCCGCGGCTGGCGTGGTCCTGGGGGGCACGGCCACGCGAGTCTCCTCCGGTCTGCGTGTGAGGGGACACTTGGCGAACCCCGCCACGATCGCAAGGCAGGTTCTCCAACTTCCCTGAGACGGGGAGCGGGAGACTCGGATGAAAATTGCTAACGGAAGTCCTATTGACAAGAAGTAACAAAAACAAATGTGAATCATCGGTGCGATTGCGCGCAAGCCTGGGAGTGAGTCCACCGCGGACAGGGTGTCTCTGCTCTCGGAGTTTCGAGACTGGGAAATCTAGGGAGGCCGTAATCAATGACAACAGTCTATGGGAACGATAGTAACGATCTGGGGAAAGGGATGCTATCACATGGGCGCTCGGCCCAAGGCGCGGACAGAAGTCTGCTGGCTGCCGTCACCGCCTGTCCAGTTAGGACTTTCTCTGGGTCCACACCGCTCAGCTAGAAACCGGCCGCACTCACCCACGAAGAGCTGGCTGTTGAGCTGCAACCGCGCGTGCCCGTCGGCAGGTGCAGCTTGGGTCTCGCTGGGGAGCTGGTCCACCTGAAGCGACGCTTCCTTCACATTCCTCTCTGCCCTCACGTGGTGCCACTGGTTGTCATTAAAGGGGGTGGGTGACCGCACCGTGACCTCGCAACGTCCGTTCCCCACATCAAAGGAAAAGGTCACTTCCGAGGGAGCTGCAAATACAGATACGGAGCGTCACTCGGTTGGGTCACGGGGGAGGAAGTTCAGTCTATCAAGACAGGAGGCAAGTGCCATGACATGCCCCTTATGAAAGCACAAGACAGTGACACGGGCGCACGCAGATGTCACGCTGAGCTGGCTCGGAGGGCAAGATAAATCTGTATCCCGGAGGAAGAGAAACAAAGCGATTTTAACACACTCCTGCTCAGAGCAGACTGTCCATCTTGCTAAAAACCCTAAAGAGTCGAGATAGTCACCTAGAGGAAGAAAACTAATGTATTAGCTGGCTTCAGATGTATAAGTGGGTTTATTTAAAGGTGGTTTAAATCTTCATATACTTTAAAAGCACGACATAACGTGAAAAAATTTTTAATGCTCATTTATTTTTGAGAGAGAGAGAGAGTGTGTGTGTGTGTGTTTAAGCAGGGGAGGGGCAGAGAGAGGGAGACACAGAATCTGAAGCAGGAGCCAGGCTCCAAGCTGTCAGCACAGAGCCAGAGGCGGGGGCCCTACTCGGGACTCAACGCAGGGCTTGAACTCACCAACCGTGAGATCGTGACCTGAGCTGAAGTCAGATGCTTAACCCACTGAGCCACTCAGGCGCCCCACTACAAGAAACTTTGAAGTAAGGAATTGCGCTTTGAGGTACATGCGTAAGTGTGTAACCAGTCAATTAAATGAAGTGATTCTGCAACGTAGTGAGTTATTTGACCAGTTTGGTTTTAAATATCCTGATCCCACACACAGTTAGGGCAGCTAAGTGCTGCTCCACAGACTGGTATGTGTTTTCTGAATCGCTGTTTTCCTCTCTATTAAAAATAGCGAAGTAAAATAATAGAACCTTAGTATTTACAAAAGAAATACAAGTGACAGCACATTGCAATGTGGCAGGAGTTAGGTTCTCAAAGGGGTCACTGTTAACTCCTGAGCGCCTGGAGGCTTCGTCCGGGGGGCGACTCACCATGTAGCTCTAGCCTGATGAAGTCTGTGATCCCCAGGTTCTCTACAAACACCCCAGAAGGAGCTGTTGTCTTAAAAAAGAAAGACACATCAGCACTGAACTCTCCGCGGAACGTAGGGAAATGAAGGTATGAAGTCTCCGTGTTGAAGGAAGCTGAGTTCCAAAATGAATCTGTTTCCAAAAAGAAAAGACAGCAACAATAGCAATGAAACAGAACAAACAAGAACTACATTTTGGATTTCTAGCATTTTTTGCTGTTAAGTGCCATCAGGGGAGATAATCACTGGAAACGGCCTGTTTTTTAAAGAGAACAATATTATTTTAAAATTATCATAGAAGGGCACCTGCGTGGCTCAGCCGATTAAGCGTCCGACTCTGGAGTTTGGCTCAGGTCATGATCTTAGGGTTCCTGAGTTTGAGCCCTGCGTCAGGCTCTGCTCGGTCAGTGCAGAGCCCGCTTGGGATTCTCTCTCTCCCTTCCTCTGCCCCTCCCCTGCTCGCACTCTCTCTCTCAAAATAAATAAATAAACCTAAAAAAAAAAAATGAAATTATCATAGAGTAAAATTGACTTTTAGAGAAAAATTGATGTTACATGAGTTTTAATACATGCGTGGAGGGGCACCTGGGTGGCTCAGTTAAGTGTCCCATTTCGGCTCAGGTCATGATCTCGCAGTTCACGACTTCGAGCCTTGGGTCGGGCTCTGTGTTGACAGCTCAGAGGCTGGAGCCTGTCTCTAGTTCTGTTTCCCTCTCTCTCTCTCCCCTCTGTTTGCATTCTGTCTCTCTCTCTCCTCTCTCAAAAATAATTTAAAGCACTAAAAAGATTTTTTTTTTAAATACACACACGGATTTGTACAACCATCACCAAAATCAGGGTAAAGAATAGTTCCATCCCCCCAAAACTCCCTCTTGCTATTTCCTTATAGTCACACCCTCCCCCCACCCCCAAGCCCTGCCTACCATGATCTCTTGTTTTGCCTTTTCCTTTTGACATTGGCTTTTTTTTTCACTCAGCATAAATCCTCTGAGATTCACTCGGGTTGCCACGTGTTGTTACTATTCCACCAGGTGGATGGGGCCGCCATTTCTTTGTCCACATTTAGCGGACAGATTCGGTCATTTACAAACAGAGCTTCTATAAACACTCGTGCCAATCAAGCACGTGTTTGTGAATAGTCTTCTTTCTTGTTTTCCAACCTGTATGCTTCTCCCTTCCTTCCGTACATTATTGCACTGGTTACGACTTCTAGTATGATTGAAATTGTGGAACAGAAGTGGTGCGATTGGATATCCTTATCTTGTTCCCAGTCTTGCGGGGGGAAGGCGGGGATCAGTTTTTCACCAATAATTGTGCTAGGTGTTCTGGATAGGGATACTCGTTATTAGGATGAAGAAGTTCCCTTTTATTCGTAGTTTGCTAAGAATTTCATTGTGGATGCTATCGTGATACAAATTACCACATTGATTCATGATATAATCATAATACGAATTATTGTGTTTCTATCAATTGATGCAGAAAAAGCATCTGGTGGGATTTTTCTTCTTTCAACTGTTAAAATGGTAGATTACATTGACTGATTTCCAAACACAGCTGACCCCTGAACAACCAGGGGGTTAGAGGCACTGACCTTTGCACAGTTGAAAATCCATGTGTGACTTCTGACTCCCCCAAAACTTAACTACTAATGGCTTACTGTTGACTGGAAGCCTTACTGGTAACGTCAACACATACTTTGTGTGTTATATGTATTAAATGCCGTATTCTTATAATAAAGTAAGCCAGGGAAAGCGTAATATTATTAAGGAAACCATAATGAAGAGAAAATATTTACAAGACTGTACTGATTTATTGGGGGAAAAAATGTGCATATAAGTGAACCTGCACAGTCCAAACCTGTGTTGTCCCAGGATCAGCTGCACTGAATCAGTCTTGCATCCTGGGGTAAATCCGTCAGTGTCGACGTATCATTCTTTCATATATTCCTGGATTTTTTAATTTTTTTTTAACGTTTATTTATTTTTGAGACAGAGAGAGACAGAGCATGAACGGGGGAGGGGCAGAGAGAGAGGGAGACACAGAATCGGAAGCAGGCTCCAGGCTCTGAGCCATCAGCCCAGAGCCCGACGCGGGGCTCGAACTCGTGGACGGCGAGATCGTGACCTGAGCTGAAGTCGGCCGCTTAACCGACTGCGCCACCCAGGCGCCCCATATTCCTGGATTATTTACTAATGTTTTGTTGACGATTTTTGCAAATATGTCTGTGATGATGCTATCTGTAGTTATCTTTTTTTTTTTTTTTTCATTTTCTTTGTCTAGTTTGGATATCAGGGCCACGTTGGCCTCACGTAATTTTGGGAAGAATTTCCTCTTCTATTTTCCAAAAGAGATTGTGCAAATACGGTGTTATTTCTTTGGGAGAATTCACCAGCAAAACCATCTCAGACTGGATTCAATTCCATGACTACTTTTAGGTCTGTTCCAGTTGTCTGTTTCATCTTGAGTGAGTTTTAGTCGTTAGTGGTTTTCAAGGAATCGATCTGTTTTATCTATGTTGGAAAATGTATGTGTAGAGTTGTTTGGAGATTGCCATTATTATGCTACTGATGTCCGTGGGGTCTGTAGTGATACTCCAGCTTTCACTCCTCACATTGGTAATTTTTCTCTTTTCTCTTTCAACAGTTCTGCTAGAGATTTATCCATTTTATTGATCTTTCAAAAATATTTTTTCCTCTTATAGATCTCTATTGGTCTGCTTTTAATGGAATGGCTTTCTCTTCATATCTTTATTATTTCCTTCCTTCTGCTTACTTTGAATTACTTTTTCTTCTTTTTCTAGTTTCTTATGGTAAAAGCTTATAGAGTTGAATTTTTTTTTTCAAAACACAAGCATTTAATGCTATAAATACCCCTATAAGCACCGCCATAAATGTACCCCACCATTTTGATATGTTATATTTTCCTTATTATACAGGTCCATATGTTTCATAATATCCATTTGAGACCTCCTTGACTCGTTTATTAGTTAACAGTTCGGGGTTAAATTTCTGAATGTTTGTGGAGACACTCACTGTCTTTGTTACTTACTTCTAGTTTAATCCATTGATGCCAAAGAATGTATTTTGTATGATTTATTTGGTAGTTGCTAAAGTTTTACTTGTGACAAAGAATACGCTATATCCGTGTGCATGTGAAAAGAATGTGTATTGTACTGTTGGGAGGGAGTTCCATAAACGTCCATCGGATTCTGTTGGTTTTGTGGCGACATTCAAGCTTCTGTACCCTTGCTCATTTTCCCTCTCTTAGTTGCATAGGCTAATGAGAGAGGCATATTGGATTCTCTAATTATAATTATGAATTTGTCCATTTCCCCTTTCCATCCTGGCAGTTGTTGCTTTTATGTAGTTTGAAGCTCAGTTATTAGCACACCCATTTAAGATTCTCATGTCTTCTTAATCACTTCTTGTGTCTATTCATTTTCTATGCTTTCAAGCAAAGATTTTAATATAGAAAGTCCAGCTTTATTCTAATTAGTAATTAGGCAGTGTGTCTTTTCCTGTCCTTATTTTGAAACTTCTGATGTCATTATATTTGAGGTGAGTTTCTTGTACACAATACATAGTTGAGTTGTAACAATCGGTCTTTCAACTGGTTTACTTAGACCAATCTCATCAAATACAAACGTCGACATGTGGGATTGGGTTCTACCGTTTTATTTCTTCCTGTTTGTTACACCTTTTTTTTCATCTGCTTCGCCTTTTCTGTCTCCTTTTGGGTTATTTAAACATTTTTTAGTATTCTGTTTTTATTTTTCCATAACTATTCCTTGATTGGTTATTTTAGAAATTACAGTATATGTACTTACATATACTACAGTATAAGTATTTACATGTACTTACAGTCTGTTCAGAATCTCCATTTCAACCACCTTGGCTGATTTGTAAAAATGTCACCAACAATTCTGTCACTTTCCCTGCTCCCCTTTATGTTGTTGTTGCTAAACGTATTACATCTGTGCACATTAAAAACTCTATGAAATGTTGTATTGTTTGCTTTTAACCCTCAGATATTTTTACATAACTCAATAGTAGAAGAGTCTGTTAAACTTACCCAGATATTTACCATATCCGGGTAAATATTTTTTAAAACATTTTTTTAAAAGTTTTTTTTAATGTTTATTTATTTATTTATTTTGAGAAAGACAGAGAGTGAGCTGGAGAGAGGCAGAGAAAAAGGGAGACACAGAATCTGAAGCAGGATCCAGGCTCTGAGCGGTCAGCACAGAGCCTGGCGCAGGGCTCGAACTCAAGGACTGCAAGATCATGACTTGAACTAAAGTCGGACACTGAACTGACTGAGCCACCCAGGAGGCCCAGATATTTACCAATTTTAATGCTGTTTTTCTATCCCTGATGTCCCAGATTGCCTTCTGATATCATTTCCCTTCTGTCTGAATCTTCCTTTAGAAAGTCTTTCAAAGCATCTTCTGGTAACGAATGCTTTTAGCTTCCCTTCGTCTGAGAATTTTATTTTATCTTCATTCCTGAAGGAGATTTTTGCTGAATATAGAATTCCGGACTGACAACCTTTTACTTTTAGCACTTGAGAAATGTTCTACCACTTACTCTGGCTTTCATATTTCTAATGAGAAAGTCACTGCCATTTGAGTTGGTGTTCACTTATAGATGACACATTACTCTCTCTGGCTGATTTCAAAAAATTTCTGCCTTTATTCGCAGCAGTACGATTACGATGTGTCTGGACGTGAATTTCTTTGAGTTTATCCTGTTTGAAGTTCATTCAACTTCTCAAGTCTGTCTTTTGCCAAACTTGGAAGATTTTCGGCCATTATTTTTTAAAGATATTTTTTCCGGTACCACACTCTTCTGTCTGCTTCTGAGTATTCAATTACATGAATGTTAGATCTTTTCTTGGTAACTCATGGTTCCCTGAGGCCCTGTTCGTTTCTAGGTTTGTTTTTTTTCCTTTCTTTTGTTCAGATTGAATCATTTCTATTCATCTTTAAGGTCACTGACCGTTTCATCTCAGATCTGCTATTTGGCCCTTCTAGGGCATCTTTTATTTCAGTTTCTGTATTTTTCAGTTCAAAAGTTTTCATTTAGCTCTTTATAGAGCCTATTTCTCTGATGAAGTGCTCTTTTTCCATTTGTTAAGAAAGTGTTTATGATTACTTATTAGGGCTCTTACGTAATAGCGGTTTCAAACTCTATCAGATAATTCTAACCTCTGTATCGTATTTGCATTAGTATCTGTTGATTGTATTTTCCTAAACCAGCTTAGATTTTCCTGGTTCTTTGTGCTAAGTAATTTTGGATTATTTCCTAGATATTTTAAATAGTATATTAACAAACTCCAGGCTTTGTTTAAAGTTTGTGGAGCATGTTGAATATAGACATATAGATTTCAATATCTATATACAGATAAAGATATCTGTATATAGATACCGATATATATATACGCATCTATATCTACCTGTATATATCTTATTTTTTTATACTTTTTAATTTATTTTTTATTCATTTAGTTATTTTGCAGGTAGTCGGCCTGGTTAGGATCTGGCCACACATTCCAACGGGCCTTCTGTGGGCTGTCTCTAATGGCAGTCCAGTTTGCAAAGGTTTTGCAGTACTATTCAGATCTGCCTCCCTCATGCGCCACCCAGTGGCCAGTCTGGGTCTTGGGTGGTAGCCGCTCCGCTCAGTTCTCAACTTCTATGGTCTACGATTCGGGTCAGATCCATTCGGATCAGATCCAGTAGCTCTGAGGTGAGCCCAGGACTTCGTAAACGACGTATGGCACGCCTTCCTGAACAGTTCCCTCTCTGGGCCCTTCCAGGTACTTTCTGGTCCCCTGGTCTCCCTTCTCAATCACGGGACCAGAAAAAGGGTCGTTTTTAGCCTGCTCTCTTGTGTGCTCTATGCACCTCTGCAACTCGACCACGTCCATCGCCAAGCGACGGGTGAGAAGAGAAAGAAAACAAAAATAACGGGAGTCCGCCTATGGTCTCTGAACCAAAGCTGCCCTATTCAGAGCAAAAGGTCCTTTCTGAAGTTCTGGCTCTTGTGAGCTCCCGGAGCAACTTCTGTTGCTATTTCCATGGCTCTGCCTGGGGACTGGGGCCTCAGAAAACACCAGAAAAAGAGAGAACTGGGATCCCTGCATTCCCTGAGAGTTGGGACTCCTCTGTTCTCTCCTCCGGTCGGGGCTAGAGGGTTTCTCTTGGAACCCTGTCTGTCTGTGACCCAAGTCCGCATCTGGGACCAAGGCCGAGCGATGCTGGGGGGAAACGTAAACGGTGCATTCTGGTTTCTCTTTCTTCCTGCTATTTGCTTCCCAGCGTCCCGAGACGGCTGCTTCAAGGCATCCTGTCCAGGTTTTAGAGGGGGACCCATGGGGAGAGGGGAGCCGGGCCGTGCTAACTTCATCTTATCCAGAAACAGAACCGTGGTCTGCCTTTTAAGATCACAAGTGGAAAAAAAATCTCTTCCTACTACCATTCAGTCAAGGCACGTGACTACGTTCTTCACATTTTGACTTTCCACGTCTCAAAACTGACGTTGTCCGAGATAGGAAACGCTTACTTTTTCTCAATAGCAAGGTTGAGAAGTGTCAGAATTTCTTCACAAGGCAACATCTCCTACGGGATGGGCTGTGTGGCTCCACGGGCTCAGAAGGCCACAGCCTCGGTGGACGTTGTGCTTTGGCCTCTCCTCTGACGTGAGTGCCACTGCAGAGTTCGGGGCAGAGGACCGACATGGCCTGACCTGGGCGCCTGGCTGTCAGGTGGAGTATCAGCTCGGTGGGGAAAAGGCAGCAGCAGACAGGCCGGCGAAGCCGCAGCAACAACCCAGGTGCTGGTGGTCATGAAGGTGGATTCGGATCCAGTTTGAAGTTGGAAACAACACGACTTGTGGGTGAATTAGATGTGTGTTGGGAAAAGAAAGACGTTGTGAGTGACCGCCATGTTTTCAGTCTAAGCAAAGGGGGAATGGAGTTGCTGTGTACCAAGGTGGAGAAGGTTGTTGCGGAAACACTTTTTCCCCTCATTTTCAACAAACTGATTTCGCAATGCCTAGGGAAATACAAGCCAAGGTACTGAACAGCCAGCTGGATGCCAGGGTTGGGAGTTCAGGGAGACTGGGCTTGAGGTGTAGACGGGGGACTCACTGACATCAGTGTGGTACGCGTTATGCCAATGTCCCCAATGGGCCTGTTGGGAACAGCTGGAGGGCAGAGAGAAGGGGGGCTGAAGCTCGGGGGACCCCAAAACACGATGCCACTGGTGAAGTGAAGGAAGATGGAGGGAACCCAGAATGTTGTGGTATGTTGGCAGTAAGGAGGCGAACCAGGAAAGGAGACCAAAGTGGCCGATAAAGGTCAACTCAGACAACACCGGAGAATAAAATTTGGATTTAGCAACATCGAGGTCTCATTGGTGAGCTGGAAAAAGCAGTTTCTAGGGAGTGACGGAGGAGAAGGTCTGAGGGGTTAGAAAGAGGTAAATTAAATGCAGAACCGATGTATTTTATTTCAATGAGTTTGAGAGAAGGAAGGATATGAAAGAAATCCAGATGTAGCTGGAGGGGTAAGTGGTCAGAACCACTGAGGTTTGCAGAAGTGCCAACAGGTATGAATGAACAGGTCCACTTGATGGGTCCTGTCACCCCATTTCTCATCATCTTACCAATTTTAGGCATCTCAGCACTCAGCCAAGTGCCTTATACTTAGCTGTATACGTTAGATGTTTGCTGACCAGGTGATAGAATATTTCAGATGATTCCATGAGTATTCGCAGCAAGAGTCTGATTTCAATACTGCAGAAAGGTCACTACTCCAAAGGTAATGTCATTTTCTCACTTTTCTTCCTCGGTTACGACGACAGCACACACTTCGTTTATTAAGTTAACACATTTCTAATGAAATATGGATTATCAGGGTAGGTAGTGTTTTCACGAACGTGGGCAGCTGCATTTCTCCTGAAACCCTGACACGCGTTTTCAGGGGTCAAGACAGTTCCTCTTCCCGCTACTTACTGTCCCCCCAGCAGAGCAGAGGCCCCAGCGCATACGCGGCTTCTGAATGTGGTCGGCCTGTGTCTCTCATCACAACCTGAATGACCGGCAGGTGCTCCTTATGGGAAAGGACTATTGTGTCGCTGGTCCTACAAAACAAATACGACCACCTTAACATTATTCTCAATGATACCCGGAAAAGTAACAGTCTTTCAATGCAGTTCAAGAAGGTATTTAGCTAAATGTGTGACTATGTAACAGTGGGGAAATCAAACGGCCCATCTGACCGCTTACACGGTAACGTATTTTAATAAGGTCGTCTGAGGACCCGAGACCTTTGTTTGTCTACGTGACCCCAGAGAAGAAAAGTGGCCAGGTCCAAAATCATGAGCCTCATGCTGGCGTGAGATTACACTTTCACTGCAATTAAGCAGTTCACTGCTCTTTCCAATTTAGCCGCCATGTAAGATTTAAATGCAGAACTTACACATGCAAGATCTGTCTGGCTTCATTAAAAAAAAAAAAAAAAAAAAAAAAAAAAAAAAAAAAAATCTGACTGACAAGATTTAGGTTTTCAATTCTTAGATTTTTTTTTACTATATTTTCCAAAATTCCTACTGCAGTTACTAGGCATTTCCTTATTTATTGATGCCATAAATTTAAAAACAAATTAAAAAACAAACCAACCCCAAAACAAAATACCAATTCGAAACCAAATCGAAAGGATGATACAATGTGCACTTAAAATTAATAAATGAGATAATTCATGGGAAGTGCTTTGTCCATGGCTGTCACCATCCATCCATTCGACCAACACTTACTAAACAGCTTCTACTTGCCCGGCCCTGTGTTTTGGGGACGTGGACATAAAAACCACGAACAATGTCCCCAAGAAACCTAGCAGATATTATAACTATAACAAAAATACAATTGTAATATAACCAAATCATGTAAGTGAATTATTTAAGACAGCATTCGTAGCTATGGTTCCAATACAACAAAAACTAGAATAAGGGCCAGAGGTCCTGGGTAATAAGCCAGCTGACCACCAACCACCTCTCTGGACAAAGAAAGATTTTTCTGCACATTGTAAGCTGTTCATATTTTTACTGTATATTTCAATATACAATTGTACTTTTGATTTAATAATTCGTCTCACGTGTCATTCTGATGCCCTGTATCTGTGCAGAACCTAGGAAGTTTTCATGCCAAACAATTACAAAGCCACCACTCACTCTTATAGGTACAAATGGAAGCACTTGAAACTGACAATTTTGCAAGTCGAAACAATCAGCCATTTCAAACGGTTCAGCCCAATAGCTTTGCTGCAAAAAAGAATCTGCATAACTTAATAGCTAATTATTCCAGTTCTGATTAGGCATCAAAGTAATTCTTTTAAGGTAGAAAGTTGAAAATTATTAACATTTTTATTTTGCTTAAAAAATGCAACAACGTGACTGGCAGTGCCTATGGTAAGACATGAAAAATTTGAACTAGATATCCTGAAAGTTAAGAAACAATTTTTTTTTTTCAATCAGAGTGTTTCCCAAAAACCAGACTAAATAAAGCCGCATGGCTTTATCTGGTTAAGGCCCTGCAATTTCTGTGGGTGAAAGCACACATCCCAAACACATAACTCCTGGCTTTGTTGGGAACAAGTGGTCACCAGCTAGAAGATTCCATGGATTATGGGGGGAGTCAATCTGAAAATATATCTTGTTATAAATGTGGGGATAAGGCACCGAATTAATTCCTCGTATTAAATATCAATCAGTGTTACAAATAGGCATTTTAATTCTTGTCATTGCTATTTTGGTAGAACATTCTAGAGTAAAAACATAAGTGTATTAGTTATTCATTGAGGATCCCTGAATTTTAAAGAACCACTTAAAAGCTACATTTATAATGCAGTGAAAAAGCTACACTTTTAACTGTTTTTAGCAATGACAAAGCACAGAGTCCTGAAAAAAACTTAAGGAAAATCATAAAAGGTAACTGCGTGTAGGAAGGCAGATATTGTACTAAGTTCTTTTCTCATTCCATTGTTTGTAAAGTAACTTCCTGATTCTGAGGAAATTTGAAACAGCTCCGATTTTAAAATTTATCAGCACAGGTCATTCCCAATTGCCTACGCTTCACGTAGGATGTTATTCATTGCCATGGTCACCAGATTCATTCGAAATTGCCTAATTTAGTTATATCTCAGTTTTCTTCTTGCTTCTCTATTGTTTTCAAAAGTTGGAAGCATTGCAAGTCTAGGGATGATGATTTCTCACGATAGGTTCCAAGCATTCAGTAAGAAAACTTCCAAAGCCACTTCTCTTGTTTTCAGTCCCAAGCGCTCCAGAGACCATTCTTACTGCTGGCTGTTCTGCAAGGGACTTTTTGAAGTCTAACGGGGCTGTCATGACTCGGAATTGTTGGGAAAGCCACAGGGAACAAATATTGGGTCGGCTTTCACATTTCCTAATTGTTCGGGGGAAAAGAGAGACTGGAGACAACCTAATTATCACCACCCAGAGTCGCATATTTTGAGAGCTCCCAGGCTCGCTCTTGGGTTTTGCTATTCTATTTGACAAACCCTTTGACAAACCCGGGCGGTTTAATTACTGCGGCACCGTGACACTTCACGTCCAGCAAGGCCCGTCACCTCTCCTTGTTTCCGTCTTCCGTTGTTATTTACCACGGCTTTTCCATGTACTTTTTCCCAGCTTGTCACTGACCCAAACACGAAGCACATGTTTGGCGCTGGCATTACATGGAATCAAGGAACTACTTATTTTTCTCACTCACGGCCATTGTGTGATACCTCCATTTGCTTATGTCTTCTTAGAGTCTCATAATAAAGTTTTACGATGTCTTTTCCCTGAAAATTTTCCATACTTGCGTCATCTTTATTCCAGAGTACTACACTCTTTTTGCTGATTTTGCGAGTAGTTTGTAGAATATCGTCTTATACTTAACACGTTCTTCATAGGAATGCAGTTATTCCAAGATTCAGTAAGTAGCCCTACTAAATAAATTCTGATTAATTTCATAATATTTCTGTATATGCTCTTGAGTTTTCCTGGTCGACAACCATATTTTCTATGAATAATGTGATCTTCGTTTCCTTGTTTCTAATCATGTGCGGTTTTCAAATGCCTCGTAGATTTTTTATCCCTCTCCTATTCATTTCTAACCTAACTGCACTATAATCAGAGAAATTGCCCATAAGATAACAACTATTACAAAATGTGGGGGGTTTTGCTTTACAGAATATCAGAACAATCAACTTGCAAAAATGTGCCACGTGTGCCTGAGAAAATTATACATTCTATAATTTTAGCTGGCTACCAAAACAAGCTGTTGGTTTCACTTAAAAATATTCTGTATGCTTAATAATTTTTGTCCACATGATTTACCAATTGTTAACAGATGTATGTTTAAATGTCTTCCTACAATGGTCGATTTGTATATTCCTTCTTTCAGTTGGGTAAATTATTTTCTATATGTATTTTGACTCATTTTTATCAGGAACAAATTTAGGATTGTTACGGGGTTTTTTGGTGAAATTAAAAAGCATTATTATATAGTGACAGTAATCGTCTCCCATACTAAGACTTTATTTATTTATTTATTTATTTTAAATTTTTTTTTCAACGTTTATTTATTTTTGGGACAGAGAGAGACAGAGCATAGTTGAGGGGGCAGAGAGAGGGGAGACACAAGAATCCCGAGTGTCCAGGCTCGAGAAACCATCAACCCAAGAAACCCGGTAGCCAGGCTGAACTCACGCGGACACGGATAAATTGACCTGGCTGAAGTCGGACGCTTAACCGACTGCGCCACCCAGGCGCCCCACCCATACTAAGACTTTAAAACTGTACTTACTTCTGTTCGTACTTGCTTGGTAAACTTGTGTTCAGCATTTTGCTTTCGACGTTTCTCGGTGTACAGATGAAATATACTTATTCTTAGTTCAATATGATCTATCTGGATTTAAATGGCTATTTTGGTCACATTTATTGTGCATGATTATTCATTTTTTTGTTGCTGTTATCTTGTTGCCTGTTGTTTCCTCTTTTTCTAGATTTTATTTCCTCCCTTCTTTTGAATTAACTAGGTTTTTAAAATCCCATTTTGGGGGCGCCTGGGGGGCTCAGATGGTCAAGCGTCTGATTGCTGCTTTGGGCTCAGGTCATGATCTCACAGCTTTGTGGGTTGGAGCCCCACATCAGGCTCTGTGCTGACAGAGTGGAGCCTGCTGGGGATTCTCTCTCTTCCTCTCTCTCTGCCCCTTCCCACTCGTGCTGTCTCTGTCTCTCTCAAAATAAATAAATAAGCTTTATTAAAAAAATTAAAATGAAACAAAAATCCCTTTTGAATATTGCACTCTCCATGGCTAGTCTTTAGTGGTCACACTTAAAATTTTAATCGTATGTGCTATGAACAGTGTAATAATGCTGACAAATATCTACGTAACAAGTTTTAAGTTTCAATAACATTTTCATTTCTAAATTTAACTCCTTTGTCAATCACAATCATTTTGTAATGGGATTGGAATGCCTCCTCCCGTTTCAATTCCATATATACTGTGATACATGACTCGTGTCCAGTATGCATCTCCTATTTTCTTAGCCTCTCAGTTTACACATTTCTTTACTCAATATTTCTTCTAGCGCCTGAGACTCTCCTACAAGATCACCTACTCTCATTCTGAAAATCATTCTTCAAACTTCCTCTTGTGGAGTCTGCTGGTGGTGCATGCTCCTTCAGCGTCTGTCTGTCTGTCTGTCTGGGCATTCACTGTATCTCAGCTGGGGACACGCTTGGAATGGGACATTTTCCTAGTGCACGGCGAGGGGAGAGCCAGCACCCGTGGGTGGCGCTGGGTTCCATGGAGGGGTGGGAGGGGCCTGCTGGCTCCGACTTCCTTTCACCTCTGCTCCCTTTAACATTCTCTTTAATTTTCTTTGGTTTCACCGTGATGTGTCTGGCGATGGACTGGTTTTTACTTATCCTGCTTGGGTTTCCGGTAGTTTCTCTCATCTGGGCATTTCTTGGCTATTTGATTATCGCCCTTAATGATCTCCAATCTTCTCTTTTGAAACTTGACTCAGATGCCTGTTCAACCTTCTCCACACCACCCCTCCATGTCGCTGCCTTTCTTCCTGCCATCATGTGTCTCTCCACGCTACAATCCACACATTTTCCACTTCCCCAGTTTTCTGATCACCTGTGTCCACTACCTGATCCAACAAGTCTTGAATTTCAACGACAATATTTTCATTTGTAAACATTCATTTGGTTCTTCCGTAAATCACAATCACCTCCGTCAACAGTATTTTCTCATTGCTTTCTCGTGTCTCAGTTCCACTGCTTATTCTTCAAACGGTTCCCCACATTGATTTTATCTTACGTTCTTAACGTATCCGTGATCTGGGATTTTTAGGCATCTATTTACTCTGTGGTGTCTTCTGCCTCCCACTTCTGTCCCCTTGGGCTCTGTAGCACTGGATTGCGAGCCCCAGTTTGGTAGCATTCTATCTGTGGGAATCCTTTACCCGCAGGAATGCCCTCCAGTAAGAATGTCAAGTAATTCTATGATGAGCCACCGCCGTTGCCAACCTGCGGCCCCGCTAACTTAATTCAAGGATCGTGTGACATTGGACTCCAAATCTGCGTGAGGGTAAGTCTGTAGACGTGAGTTTTCAGGGAGTTATTTCTTGCTACCCAGGGTGCTAGCAGGAAGAGCTGTCGTCTTCCGCCTTCTTTTTTTGGGTCTGGAAGCCTCCTGAGACCGCCACCGGTACGGAGAGGCTGTGTTCCACACCTCCCCTTTCGTGCAAGCCAGACCATGTTTGGTTTCCCCAATGTGGCCATTTTTTTTTTTTTTTTAATTTAATCCCCAACGTGGCCATTTAAAAGCACGGCCAGCAGCGAGGGAGTTCAGCAAACAACCCTGGGTCAACCGTGGGGCAATCATCTTATTAACTGGGTTAAACTGAACTTTTGGAAGTCTGCGTATTTTACTTCCGGCGAATGGGAGACGTTAACCTGGTATTCCTATTCTGTCTTCTTAGAAACAAAAAATAAAATGGACATGATTAGTTATTCACAGGTAAACAGAAACAGCTCCCTAACACTTTAGGCTTCAGATTAATTACACTGCACACATCAAAGCTTCTACTTTGAGCTTGCTAGGGAATCCTTTAATCTTTTCTCTTTATAGAACTGTCTTGTCCAATGTCTGCCTAAGTCACATCGTTTAAGCAACAAAAAAATTACAGTTTGCACAGGGAAATTATATGGAAATCACCATTCATTCCGGTCAGCATCACAGTTGCAGTAATATTGAGAATCAAGGCAGTTCCCCTGTAATCCACAAGCACATTTTTGAGCATCAGGCAGAGAACCTCCCCAGTAAGTGTGTGTTTCATTGGTTCTTCCAACCCACCAGCTCACTGGGGTTCCATCTGAAAGACAAGTATGAGAAAAGTGACACCTACTTTGCCCCCCACTGCCTGCCTCCCCAGCACAGTCCATTGCTCCCCTCTATTTCAAACACAGCGACTCTTTTAGATGTGAGCAGATGTTAACTCCGCCACAGGATAATTTTTAAGAGGATTTCCAACTGTTTAAAGAATATTTCCATATCAAGACTTACATTCTCACCATATGTTTTACTTTTATTAGAAAATGAGCAAGCGGCCCCTAACTCAATCCAGGCGTGATATTTACGTATTTCTCTGGAGGACTCCAATGACCTAATTTATTTGAAAATAACATTCACAAAAGAATTCTCATTAAGAAAAAAAAAAAAGAAACTAAAGAAAACCAGAGGGATTTATACACTGAGTCTAAAATCTGTTCGAGAGCCTAAGACGCCATTGAAATAACATAATATCATGCAAAACAAGGATGTCTTTCACTTTATTTATTAGCGGAAAACACTGGTCCTTCCTGTCAGGTCTTAGAAGCCTCATGGAGACGTGTGTTTCTTCTTATACTGAATGGGTTGGCATTGTAGTTGGAAACTACAGACAAGGTCCTGACGAGCCTTCTCCATGCCTGGGGTGCGTCCCAGGCTCAGGACAACTGCGGTTACCACAGCTCAATTCTTTAGCACAACTTCCTTCCTAGTACAACCCGCAATTAACCCGCTGCTGAGGCCCCAGGGTGGGACTGTAGGCCACCTGGAGGTTGAGGATGGTCAGGAAGGTGGGCCTTCAGGAGCGTGAAGGAAAACAGTACCTAATAAACAGAGCATCAGAGCAGGAGGGCCAATGGAAGCGACATCCCTCAGTGGGGCCTGCAGAGATGCTGGTCCATTTTAGCGTGCTCTGTCAAACCCTCAGGCCGTCCCCATCCAGCACCCCCCGCCCCCCACCGGGCATCTGGAAGACATCCCAGCTTCTCCCTAACTTACAACCACCCCTGCTCATCATGGCTCCCTGTCCCATGAGACTTCCCGTCTGCCCGCAACCTCCCAGCTTGCAAACACACCGGCCACATTCATTACCACCCACCGCAGGCCCACTGGGGGAGATGTGTACCAAGAAATCAATATCCGCGGTCTTCCCCCCGGCCCCCAGTGTGTTGAAAACTTATCTGTAGGGGGTAGAAGAGCTTTTCAACAGAACAGATATCTTTCAAAACACCACTTGGAAAACATGATTATTCAACGCTCACTCTTTCCTAGATCGGGGAGCGAAAAGAATCATTGCACCTAAATGCACAATTGTTTGTTTACATCGGAATTTTTCATTTTCTCTATAAAGTAAGAAGCATCGGGGGTTGCTAGTGGTACAGGATGCATTTGGCTCCATTCAAGATTTCTTTCAGAAATCTGGAGAATTTGCATGAGGAATCAGTAAGAACAACACGAAGAAGAACTAAAGCCGAAATGGAAACGAACATGGCTTCCCGGCCCCCATCATCGGTCCCTGGTTGGCTGTCCTTCACGCCAGCCATAACTACAATCCTCAGGGACCTTAGTGTCCACAGTACGGAGACCGAAGTTACCTGAAATCAACACTTACCACCCCCCCCCGAGCTCTCTCTTTAGCCACCCATAATCACGTCCCCTGAAGCCATCTATAGCATAGAGACCTAACAGCTGCTAAAGGAAGACGCTGCGGGACCCTAACAAGAGTCAAGGCCCATCTGCTCCCCACTAGCCCTCCTGGAAACCGCAGGACACAGGGGTTGCTGCAGCGAGGCCCGGCGCTGCTTCATCTCCTCTCACAATTAACAAGACCTCAGGCTCCTGGCAATGTCTGAGATTTGAACAGAGGGAAATTCTTGGGGGAAAGTGGATGTCGACTCTCATTCCCCAATGCGTTTTATGACGTTCTTGAGCTACGTGGTCCCCACAGTGCAGCCGCCTTGAGCGATTTTTGCCACGGCGACATTCTAGCGAAGGCTCCAGGGGAAGGCTGGTTGTGGCCACTCCTTTCGCACGGGGTAGCATCATGCCCCCCACATCTGTTCGTGCCTATCAATAACGCACAGCAAATCGGTGTGCAACAAGTGTCGGGTGTGTTAGGCTACACTATTTTAGGCCAACCTCATGTGTACTGTAATTAAGAGACTCTGGAATCACACAGGTCTGTACCGAACTTGTCTACATTGACTTTGTGCTACAAATTGGCCAGTGGCAGAATATCAGAAATGCAGCTGCAGGGCGCCTGGGTGGCTCAGTGGGTTGAGCGTCCGACTTCAGCTCAGGTCATGATCTCGAGGTCGGTGAGTTCGAGCCCCGCGTCGGGCTCTGTGCTGACCGCTCGGAGCCTGGAACCTGCGTCGGATTCTGCGTCTCCCTCTCTCTCTGCCCCTCCCCTGCTTGTGTTCTCTCTCTCAAAAATAAAAAAGGTTAAAAAAAGAAAGAAAGAAAAGCACCTGCTTGAGTGTGTACAGATAAAAATCCCTCACTTTGTCCCTGTAGCGAGTGTTCAACGAGTTGGAAAGCGTTTTCTCTTTCCACCTTTACCCCAACCCCAATTAAATACTTGTTTTTGCTGCTGCTGTTGCTGCTGCTTTCTGTATTGATATGGAAAGGATGACAATCAAGGAGTGATCGCTTGCAAATCAACAGGCGGACACCGGCCTTCCAAGTGGGAATTCTCTACTGAGGCAGCGGTGTCCAGGTTCTGGGACAGACCACGTGCGCGAGTTTGCTCCCGGACTCACCCAGTGGGTGCGGACTGTGTTAGGGGCTCGCACACTCTGCCCTGCCTTCGCCTCGTTTCCCTGGTGAGACAGCCCAACCCGCCTTGTTCCACAGCACTGCCTCACTCTCCCGGGGCCCGCTTCCTCCTTCTTCGGGGAACATTCCATTTTAGCTCAGTCGTCTACTTAGCAGCAATCAGCTCACAGTACGCGCTGAGCCCTCCAGCACGAACTATAAATTCAATAAATTGGAGAGATGCGGATAAGTAGCATTTGACTTGGTGCAATTTCTACGTTGTGCGAGTAAGGCCTGGCGAGGTGAGTGTCTGAGAGCTGAAGGCTCTGAGGGACGAAGCAAGGTCCCAGCTCCCCTGGCTGCTGAGTGACGGGCTCGGAACGTGAACCCGGGGGACCCTGACTACCGCCCTCTGCTCACTCCTCTCCCCAGACGTCTGATCAGCCTCCCACAAACCCAGGAGTTTCATTCGAGCAGGGTGGGGGCTGCCCATTCTGAAAGAATGAGCTATTTCAGAGGAAGAAAATACAACACCAAAAGCAGAATTTTCAAGAGCAGAATGGGCATGAAAAACGAACCATGAGCAGGCATGGTGTGTGAAAGGGGTGCATGAGACTAACATTGTTCCCTAATTAATAAGTACCCCGGACGCTAATTACATTCAGTCTCTGCAAAAGAATCTCACGGAATAACCACCCCCGGAGAGAGAACTAAGCCACGCATGTCGTCCGCAATCCTTTCTAAGATAACCTCGTAAGGAGGCTTCCACTGTCCAGTTGTCTAGTGGGGTCTGGGAAGGCACGTCAGGTCATTCACAGCTTCGAGCAGGCAGCGATATCTATTGACCTTGCTCTTTGCTCCGAGGAAAAGCATCTCTGTGACTTCCACATTGTGACGTGAGCATTATGGCCACAGATTCTCACACATCCGTGGCAAGCCACGGCCACCTGTGGGCACTGCAGCCCACGATGGCTGAGCACGCTGATTACTCACCGTGGCGAGCCGAAAGCCTTGACTTCTTGCAGTGGAAGGCCAGCTCCTGTTGGCAATGGTCCGCACGGTCGATTATGGCTTGGAGCTGGTCCATGCTGGCTGTGTACTTGAAAGCCACAGGGTGGGGGCTTTCTCCATCCGAGCTTTTGACCCTGGCCAGATGTGAGCCATTGTGCTGCACGGAGGTCCCGGTGGTGTCTTGTGGGCAGAAACGGGGTGGGAGGGAGAAAGAGACTGTGACTAGGTTGGAAGAATTAAACATAAATACGAAAGTCCGAAGCATCTTTTATCTGAATTAAGGCTTTTATGTGTGTAGCTGTCTGATCTCTTCGATGTTAGAATCAACATGAGTGCCATTGCGAAAATGTGAATAATAGAGACTCTCTTTACCGAGATTTGTATCACCCTGAATGTGGTCAACATTGTCTGGGGCCAATTTTTAAAGTTCTGTGTTATAATGCTCACAATTGTAAACACTACTCTTTCTCCCTGAATTTATTTCTTTCCATTACCGTAAAAAGAAAGCCAAATGTTTACTGTGTATACATTTATTTTTATTTTTTGAATGTTTATCTATTTTTGAGAAAGAAACAGATAGAGTGTGAGTGGGAGAGGGGCAGAGCGAGAGAGGGAGATACGGAATCCGAAGCAGGCTCCAGCCTCTGAGCTGTCAGCACAGAGCCCGACGCGGGGCTCGAACCCACGAACCGTGAGATACTGACCTGAGCTGAAGTCAGATGCTTAACCGACTGCGCCACCCAGGTGCCCTACATTTACTTTTTAATAAGCATATTCCTAGGGGCGTTTGGGTGGCGCAGTCGGTTAAGCATGTGACTTCGGCTCAGGTCATGATCTCACGGTTCGTGGGTTCCAGCCCCGCATCAGGTCGGGCTCTGTGCTGTCCGCGCAGAACCCACTTTGGATCCTCTCTCTCCCTTTCTCTCTGCCCCTCCCCCACCTCTCAAAAATAAAAAAAAATAATAAGCAAACATTTAAGAAGCACATTCCTCATCTGACTGAGCATCTTTTCCTCTGGAAATCAAGGAAATATGTAGAAGACACATCTGAGGAATAACCGGCTGACGTGATCATACAAAATAATAAAAAGTAAGTGTTTTCGACAAAATTAGACTGATCGCGAGTCAGCAACTCATTCGTGGCCAGCACGCAGTCACGCAGCGCCTTGAAGTATCTAACGTAACTATCCGCGGCAGTAACCACAACTCCACAAATGTCTGCTGGCCAGCTCGGACGCATTTCTGTCATATTGATTACCTGTATTTTAACAGGGGATTTAGAAACAAGCCAAACGTGCTCCACAATGTTTGCAACAGAAGAAAAACATCTTGACTTCTTTGACCTTCCCCGAAAATATACCTCCTCCCACGGTATAAAAGGGCCCTGGTTGAGTGGCCAAAAGGCTGGCTTCAGAGTTGCCCTAACTCAACTACATTTATAACATCAAGTCACATAACCTCCTCTGTAACACGTGTTTGGTCCATACGCGCTCGGTCTCCATATTTCCAAATTATAGGGGCCGGAGACAGTCATGTGAGGTTCGTTCTGATTACGTTTAATGGCTAATACCTACCCAAGGTTAAAAACTCAAAGTAGTGCTACCAGGAACTCAGAGGAGTCCCCACCGCCCCCGCTCCCTGCCCCTGACCTGCCCTGGGAAAAATCTAACAGCCATACTGGTGCTCACAGACCCCAAATGCATCAAATACATCCAGAGATCCAAGGAAGAGAACCCCGCGGGCCAGGGAAAGAACTCTGGCTCCTAGCCTATGAAAAACATCACCAAATATGCCAAATCTAGCAGGAACAGGAACAGACTGTGAGTCAGCGTGACTAATGCAGTGGAATATTCGGTGGAAGAAAAAAGGCTTAATAGATCATCCCCTCTCGCTGCTCGCTGAAGGGGCTATGAGTGTTCCTATAGCAACTTGAATCCCACAGGTTTTTTTCTTCCCCCCTCTAATCATGTTTTCGCCAGGCGTTTTATATTTCAACGTTTTCCTGGAAGATGACTTAGATGGACCTGACGTTATTTTTGGTAATTACCTACTCACATTCACCCTCAGGGTTTCTTCTATCAGACGACACAGGGTAAAAGGGGCCATGGAGAAGCCATGCGTGAGGCTTGGGAGTTCATCAATTATAACGCCTGTGTGTCATCTGTTTTCACGGTTTACGACACAAAGAAAAACGATGTGCTTGAGTAGCTCACACAGGCTACCGGTCAGTATGATGGATTCGTGGTCTTGCATGGTTAAAAGGTAATAATGGAACTCTTTTTCAAGTGGAGAGAAGGGAAAGCAGGAAAAGAATCTCAAAGCTGCCTTTTGAAAAAAGAAAAATTTAAATGATTGCTCTTTCTGGAAATATTTTTTCCCAAGACCCCAACAAGGGCACATTATGTTTCCCTAATGTTCCGCAACGTACGATTTCCATAGATTTCCAAACTGTAAGTGGGAAGGCAGCTTTGAGAGGCAATATAACCTTAGCTTTCAAGCATGAGGAGACAGACCAAGGAATTCAAGTGACCAGCGTGATGGAAAAATACTTGGCTGTTATACACTATAGTCTGAAGTGCAAATTAGATCTGAAGAAATTCATGGTAATAAGGGACATTTTTAAATAGGAGTTTTGAACTGTTGAATCAGGCCACATCATATCATGTTCATCCAGCTCAGTGAGGTTTTTTTCATCTGCACCTGGCGTGGAGAGGCTGTCCGTGGCTGCTGGTCCACCATTTGCTTAGGCAAGTCAACCTAAATTAATTCGATGGTTTAGTTTGGTATTAAAAATAACACCGGGGTGCCTGGGCGGCTCAGTCGGTTAAGCGTCCGACTCTTGGTTCTGGTTCAGGTCACGATCTGGTTCCAGTCCCACGTCGGGCTCTGTGCTGAGAGTGTGGAGCCTCCTTGGAATTCTCTCTCTCCCCCTCTCTCTCTGCCTCTCCCCTGCTCGTGCCTGCTCTCTCTCTCAGAAATAAACTTAAAAGCATAACACTGACGCACCACATCATAGAACACCTCCTAGTTTCTCTTTATTTTGCCAAATTATATCCACTTTGCAATCTACAACACTGTCTGTACTTCACAGCATACCTCTGAACTATACACGGAGTCTTTTATGGAAAACAGTGGGTTGAATGGAGGAAAAAACAGAACAGAACACATTCAGGGAAATGTGAATCCAGAGCATCTCTGCTAGGCTCACTTTCATCTTCCCTGAGAAAAAAAGAAGGAAAAAGACTTCGTTACAAAAAAAACGTGACGCCTCACCAGCCTGTAGGTCTGTCACCCACGCGCTGGAAGTTGACCTCGAGGAAAGAGAAGGCAAAACATCCCTTTTCTCACGGACGCCTGAAATGAAGTCCGATTTGGGTCTGAACACCACCTCTTTGGGAATGAGGCCAGCTGCCTGCATCTCCTGCGGTGGAACAGAGGGGCCAGAGCTCAAAGAAGCCAAGGAAGGCAATGTGCCAGGTGACCGGACCTGTCACTCTCCCTCCGCACGTTAAGTGGCCGAGGAGGCACGATGACGCATAAGGACAGACTGATGAAAACACTAGCAGGCGTCCCTGGATCCGCAGAGATGATGGGGACACCACGTCCTGCCTCTGAGAGGTAGAGCCCCAAGCCTTCTCAGAACTCCACTGTGGAACTCTCTAGAGAGAGACACGGCTGCAGCTGGCTATCATCTGTTCCTCAGCCCAATCCTCCTGGCACACAGAAGCCGAAAGGGAAGCCCAGGAAAAGGCACTTGCCCATCTTGGGGAAACCGGGTAACCTCAGCACACATTTCTAAGTGTCCCTGGGCTTTCTGGGTAGGTCAAGTTCTTGAAGACCACTGAGGTCCATGAGTCTCTCGAGCACCTCATGCACCTGAGCCCTCTCCTGTATTTCCAAGGAAAACAATCCAGGGGGGAGCAGAACTAGATCACG